TACATACATGGGACTGATGCCACACGTTGCATCAGTGAGGCCTCACATTTACCCATACACAGTTTTTAAGGTGCCTTGGAAAACAGGTTTCATTCATTTTGCATCAACATAACAGCTTTTAGAAGTGTTGTTGGAACAGGTTACAGTGAGAAGCCTAAGGAAAATGCAGCCTTCGGTTGGCACAGCGGGGCACGGACTGCACCCCAGATTAGTGCCTGTGGGATGGCTTCTCTCAGAAGAAGATCAGACCTACATCCAGTGCCAGCTGCATGTCTTTTCTGTATTTTTTGTTACTTTTTCTATGCTTAAAACTCCAACATTTACACAAGCCACACAGTGTTTCAATTTAGTGTTTTCCTTAAAACACACTGCTTGAGCAATCCAAAAATAATTTACAAGCACAGTAGGAAAAAATAAGCAGACATGCCTAACTTTACCTGTGTGAGTAAGTCAATGTGACCTACTCACATATGACCTACTCAGTGTGACAAACCTGTGTGAGTAGATTTGAGTAGGACAAAAGAAGTTTGGCACCCATGTTTTCAACAGGAGATGTCGGCATTCAAATAGGTGCTGAGTATACTGTCAGCATTTAAGGAGCAAGTGGTGCTCCCATTACAAATTCTTTCTTAAAAAAATAAGATTGCAACCTGTTTTTTCAGCAAACTGTGAAGAGGAAGACTAGGTGGTCCACAAACACTGTTGTATCTGGAAAAAAAGTACCGCGAGAAATAATCACCCCAAAGAAAAGACAAGGTTCACTCTTATGTTTTTTATCTATTTCCTTAGCAAACATGCCCACTGGAGCCTCAAATCTTGGTCAGGGGTATTCTGCAAATGGTAGGACCTTTCATTACTATAGAAATTATTCCATTTCCTTACATGAACTGATGCATGTTTTCCTGGCTATTCAAAGCAAAAGTTTATTGCTTTTTTTTCTTGGTATTTTTTTCTCTAAAGATGTAACTCATGGCTCCTGTGCAGGAACCCTGGTACCATAGTCTCAATCTTAAACATGCGTGAGAACCAAACCCACAAGCTTTGATTCTGTAGCTGACCCAGATCAGAACAGCGCAGAGGCATTAAACTAATAAACTAAGCAATAGGAGCACATCTTCTACCAACCACCCGCTATAGAATCATAGAATCGTTTAGGGTGGAAAAGACCTTTAAGATCATCGAGTCCAACTGTCATCCCAACACCACTATGCCCACGAAACCACATCCTGAAGTGCCACATCTATGTGTTTTTTGAACACCCCCAGGGATGGTGACTCCACCACTTCCCTGGGCAGCCTGTTCCAATGCCTGACAACCTTTTAGCAAAGAAATTTGAACAGGACCTGCTGTAGGTAATGCAGGACAGTGAATTATGGATAGGATTCAGAACAAAAAACTTTTTTAAATGTAGTCTCTGCTGTGGTACAATCGTTATCCCTGGTCCCGTTACACACATCCATCTAAGAAAACAGGTAGCAAGACTCTGAGATCATATGATTATTTTCTCCATTAAAAGGTATAATTTAGAAGAAATATATTTTGTTACATTTATTACTAAGGCAACAAAATATTGTAGGGTTTACATTTCATCAGCAAACTTATGTTTGATTACAGAAATGGACTGAATGAAATAGTTTGCTGGGAACATAGTGAATACAAAGGTTAGGGCTGATCCCAGCCTGTCGGGCAGCAAGCTAAATGTAGGAACCCACCTGTTTGCTGTGCTCATTGTCAAAGATGAAGTGCTCAGGCTGTCCTAACACTGCACTACATCTCATCTTAGCACAGAACAGAAAAATAGGCCAGGCAACCCCGTACAGTTTAGTATGCTCCCGCCACTGATTCATTTTCTTTTTCATCTGCAGTTGTCTTCCAGGGCGGTTATAAATACCAGTTCCCTAAGAATGAGGATCAACAGCTCACATTGTGTTGCCAGCAATGTTCTCACCAGGGACTGAAGCCCAATGAATAAAATTAATCCAGTGATGGGTGAATCCAGCTGCTAACTTTGCAGAACGTCACACAATCCCACAATACCAAGCAGAACAAAGCAATCACTTTCATCTGTTTACACAGACTCCTCATCCTGATCTAGCATGGATAAGAGAAACACTAAAAATAGCTCAGGTGTATTTTTACAAAAGGCAAAATGAAGGTTATAAATCAGCTAAACCACTTAGAAATCCATTATACTGTTACAATAACATTTTGACAGCACCAGCAGACTTACCAAACCTGCAGAGGTCACCTTTAAAACAATGATCAACTTTTTCCTGTTTCATGTTTTGGACCTGTCATGCACTTCAAAAGAAGTCTGGTGGAAGAGACACAGGGGTTTTCACTTAGAAGTCCATTTACATTTTAGGTCAAGAACTTAAGACTGCCTTATCTTGCTCCAATCATTCTTTCACCTAAATAAAACGTACTTGAGAGGCCCAGACCTACATTTAGGAAAGAAATGAATCATCTTCTCTCCACAGAAATGAGTGATCCCTTAAAGTTAGGGTGTTGAAACTAGTTTTGCGACTACTTTACAAAAATAACCAAGTTAACACATGGTGTCGTGGTTTAAGCCCACAAGGCCGCTTGCTCACTCTACTCCCCCGCACCCCGCACACCCGCTCCTGGTGGGATGGGGAGGAGAATCAGAAAGGAGAAACAACAACAAAAAAAGGTAGAGCCTCATGGGTTGAGGTAAGGACAGTTTACTGGGACAACACAAGGAGAAGAGTTAGAATAATAATAGTACTAATAAAAGAATATACAAAACGAGCGATGCACAATGCAATTGCTCACCACCCCAAACTTGATGCTCCGCCGCTTCCCCTGCTGCGATACCACACCGAACCCCCAGCCGCTCCCCACTTATATACTGAGCATGACATCACATGGTACGGAATATCCCCTTGGCTAGTTCGGGTCAGCTGTCCTGGCTGTGCCCTTTCCCAGCTTCCTGTGAAAATTAACTCCATTCCACCCAAACCCAGGACATTATCCACCCCTTAATCTATACCATCTACGTCATGCCCAGTTCCTAGGCTTTCCAATTAATCACCACCAATTTCCCTGTCTTTGATGTGTGTATATATATATATATATATACACCCCTGCCCACAGATATCATTCCCTTAGTCTATGGGCCATCCCTCTAACATGACAGTTGATTTTATTTAATGACTTTGGGGATCCATCTGTCATGAGAGTCCTTCAGGGTAGGAGAGATGGTGTTTGCTGTTGGATTGTTGCATGCTGCCTCCGGAGCTTGCAGCTGGTGTATTTGATGCAATCCATGCCCACGGTCTGTGGGTTGAAGACGTCGATCTTGAGGAATTTGCTGAGTGCCAGTTCAAGTTCCATCACTGCTGCACTTCACTTGGTTTCAAAGTCCATCTTTCAGTGATTTGGGCGATTCTTACTGTAATGTCATTGATACAGCATATAGCCACTACAGATATAATGACATACAGTGGCAGGGTTATTTAGCAGTTAACATCATACAGTCTAATTCACTGGCTATTCTCACCCAAAATCAAATCTCCTTGGGGAACACATCGAACTTCCCCATTCTTCCGTGTCACCCACCAAGTGCACACAGGTCCTTGAGCACAAGCAATCCTGCGGATGGGTTTGGCTCTGCCTGAGGCAGGGCTAACCCAGACTGTCTTCCCTAACATACTCTTCATGCACATTACAGGGACTTTATCTCCTTCTGCAGTATGTGGAAGTTTTGCTTGGGCAGGGCCAGCTCGATTGGTAGATCCTCTAATATTAACCAACCAGGTGGCTTTTGCTAAATGTGTATCCCAATGTTTGAAGGTCCCACACCACATTGCTCTCAGTGCAGTTTTTAGCAGTCTCTTGTATCGTTCAATTTTCTGGGGGGCTGCTGCATGATAAGGGATGTGATATACCCACTCAATGCCATGCTCTTTGGCCTGGGTGTCTATGAGGTTGTTCCAGAAATTAGTCCCGTTGTCTGACAATTCTTTCTGGGGTGCCATGTCACCATAAAACTTGTTTTTCAAGGCCCAGGATAGTGTTCTGGGCAGTGGTATGGAGCACGGGATATGTTTCCAGCCATCCAGTGGCTGTTTCCATCATTATAGCACATGACGCTTGCCTTGGCGGGTTTGTGGGAGTGTGATATAGCCAATCTGCCAGGCCTCCCCATGTTTATACTTCACCCATCGCATCACCCTCCATACCAGAGGGGCTTTAACCGCTTGGCTTGCTTAATTGAAGCACATGTTCCATGTTCATGGATAACCTGTGCGATAGTGTCCACAGTCAAGTCCACCCCTCGATCATGAGCCCATCTATATGTTGCATCTCTTCCTTGATGGCCTGAGGTGTCATAGGCCCACCAGCCTGATCCACCTGCTAGTTGTTTTGATGTTCTTCAGTGGCCTGACTCTTGGGTACGTGAGCATCTGCATGACGTACTTTTACCACTGGCTTCTCTAGCCGAACAGCTGTATCTTGCCACAATGGGGCAGCCCAGATGGGTTTGCCTCTGTGCTGCCAGTTACTCTGCTTCCACTGCTGCAACCACCCCCACAGGGCATTTGCCACCATCCATGAGTCAGTATAGAGATAGAGCACTGGCCACTTTTCTCGGTCAGCAGTTTCTGTGACTTGTCATGTAGGACTCCATACAGCAGCCTTCCACCTCCGACGCTTTCCCACAGTGCGACAGAACCCATCAGTGAACAGGGCATATTGCCTTTCATTTTCTGGCAGTTTATTATACAGTGGGGCCTCTTCAGCCCGTGTCACCTCCTCCTCTGGCGACATTCCAAAATCCTTGCCTTCTGGCCAGTCCACGATCACTTCCAAAATTCCTGGGCAACTGGGGTTCCCTATGCGAGCCTGTTGTGCGATCAGTGCGACCCGCTTACTCCATGTGGCATCAGTTGCATGATGTGTAGAGGAGACCCTCCCTTTGAACATCCAGCCCAGCCCTGGCAGTCGGGGGGCTAAGAGGAGCGGTGCTTCAGTACCAACCACTTCCGAGGCAGCTCAAGCTCCTTCGTATGATGCCAGTATTTCTTTTTCAGCTGGAGTATAGCGAGCCTTGGATCCTCTGTATCCCCGACTCCAAAACCCCAGGGGTCGGCCTCGGGTGTCCCCAGGTGCTTTCTGCCAGAGGCTCCAGGTAGGGCCATTTGCACTGGCCATACGGGACTATTAAAGGGCAGAGTTTTGCTGATCATCCCTTGGCTCTCCAGCCAATGAATCACCTTATGGGTGGGAATTGGAGTCATGGTTGGTGTGATATTGCTGCTGGTGCACTGTTGTGGTAGCGACTGGCACCTGTTGTTCTTCAACCTTCAGCAGCCCCACAACAGAAGGGTCCTCCAAGAGACCGGGCAAAGTGGACAGCTGTTCAATTTCCTCCATCTCCTATGCAGCTATACCAAAGCCCCACCGGTACCCTTTTGGGTCCTTGAAATACCCTTTCCTGAGATGGTCTATGCCAAGGATGCACAGGGCCTCTGGGCCGGTCACAGTGGGGTGTTTCTGCCACGCATTCCCAGTTAGACTCACTTCAGCTCCCAATACAGTTAGCTGTTGAGATCCCCCTGTCACTCCAGAAATACAGATGGGTTCTGCCCCTTTATAGCTTGATGGCATTAGGGTGCACTGTGCACCAGTATCTACCAGAGCCTTATACTCCTTGTGGGTCTGACATGCCAGGCCATCAAATCCACACAGTCCAATAAACCTGGTTGTCCCTTTCCTCCACCTGGCTGCAGGCAGGGCCCCTCTAATCCTGGCCAAAGTATTCATTACTCACTCTTTGTAAATGTGAATCAGAATTCCCTCTGGGAGAATCAGAAATGAGATCAGCCCTCTGTCTGGGGAATTGCCCGTGGCATTCTTCCAGGAGGAATCCTCTTTTCTGATTGCTTTTCCTTGCAACTCAGGTACCTGTGAATCTAGGGAGGTAGGTTTTCCATCCCACTTCCTCATGTACTCTCCATGGTCACCCAGGTAAAACCACAGGTTACCCCGTGGTGTGTACCTTCTATTTCCTCTCTCTTGAGTAGAGGAATGCTTACTATAGCTAGTTTGGGTCAGCTGTCCTGGCTGTGCCCTTTCCCAGTGAAAATTAACTCCATCCCAGCTGAACCTAGGATGCATGGGGAAATTAAAAAATAAAAAAAAATTTAAAAAAGGAAGAGGAAAAAGGAAAGGAAGAAGGAAAAAAGAAAAGCTACCATGCAAGACAAATTTAATAATTGTTAGTTGGTGCTGGTCCATTAATTCAAAATAGGAACCAGCTATTCATAATGGTTCAAAACCATCTTGAAAAATGGTGGTAGTTCAACTTGATATTTCAAAATGTACTGAACATCTGAGTCAAAAAATCATCATCTTGGCATTACTGTATCTTTTGTATCTGCACAGTGTATTATGAAAGTCTCAAATCATAAACTACCCCAGAAAAATGAAGCTCTATGCCCACTAGCAACTCAACTCAGAAAAGCAGTCCCTGCAGCTGAATGGCTCCGCTAATCTTCGAATCGCAGCTGTGCACAGCTCTTCCACAGGACGAGGGTCTGCGCGGGTGCATGCAGACAGAAGCGCAGTAAGAGCTGCACGTGCTGTGGGACCGAAACAGGGAAACCGGCTGCCGCTGCTTCTCGCGCGAGTGTATCGCTCGAGATGCCACGCTGATAACAGAAGCAGATACAACGAGGCTGGAGTTCAGCCCTGGCACAGTGAGGCTTCCAAGATGTAAGAAAAGTTCCCGACAAGTGTAGTTACGGGACTATGACACACACGTGCCCTTCCCCAGGGCGAGGGGTGCAGTTCTGCTCCTCATCGCGATGCACCGCACGGCGCTCTTGAGCTGCCCGTGCACCCACACGAAGAAAACCGAGGCGATTCCAGAGGACGAGCCGAGCCGAAGTGCCAGTCCTGGCTTCGCACCCCCCCTGCCTTGCAGGTGACGAGCGGCGCTGGGGGCCACGCGTGTGCCCGGGCCGGGGCAGCTCTGAACGGCTGACCCCGCTCCGGGGCTTGGAGAGCCACCGCCCGCTGCTCCCTTAGCAAAAGGCTGCACGGCGTTGCTTCACAGCACGAACCGGCCGCTCGCTTTGCTTTCGCTTTGGTTTGCCCGCTGTCCGTGACTCGCTCCCGGGACGCTTCTGGAGGTGTCCCTCCTCGCTTTTTTTT